GGCGTGCAAAGTTGTCATAAGAACGGCCATACTGGGTCAGACCAAAGGTCCATCTAGCCCTGTATCCTGTCTGCTGATTCAGATGCCCCAGAGGGAGTGAACAGAACACGCAATCATCCCATGATCCCACTCCCACTGTCACACATTCCCAGCTTCTGACAGAGGCTAGGGACACCATTCCTACCCATCCTTCCTAATAACTATTGATGGTCCTATCCTCCATGAATTTATCTAGTTCTTTCTCGAACCCGGTTAAAGTTCTGGTCTTCACAACCTCCTGTGGCAAGGAGTTCCGCAGGCCGACCGACCATGCGCTGTGGGAAGAAAAACTTCCTTGGTTTGTTTTAAACCTGCTACCTATTAAAAGTCATAGCTATCTTCTGTCATCACAATACCCTTCTCTCCCCCTCTCCCCCAACACCACCACACCCATCGCCTGATTCCAGGGTTAGGAAAATTCTGCGAGGAAAGTATAGCCAGATGTCAGTGTGCTCTGGCAACCCCTCATTAGTGGACAGCCCCTTGGGGACCATCATCAGCCTGGGATAATTTAGAGCAGCTCTTGGGCTACTGTAAACTCTTGGTGCCGGAAGTAGGGAGTGGATGACAGGGGATGGATTACTCAATGATTGCTTGTTCTGCTCATTCCCTCTGCAGCACGTGGCATTGGTCACTGATGGGAAACAGGATAGATAGCGGGACCATTAGCCTTACCCAGTATCGCTGTTCTTATGACCCATGATCTGGGAGCCACAAAATGCCAGAGATCAAAGCCAATAAAGTAACATCCAGTCTCTGGCCAGAGATAGAGGGGTCTATGGTGGTCTTCTGTGTTTGTTGGGTATGTTCCACCTAAGCCTAAAATTAACAGATACGCTGGCAAAGGAGGGAGGCTGGTAAAGGAGGGAGACGTGAGCACTTAAAAAAAAAGAAGTCAACCAGAAGGTCTGCTGTGATTTAAGGGACGTCTGGGCTCAGTTATAATCACCTCAGAGAACAGACATTCTTGGCTGTGGGATGGAGTCATTTATTTAATTGGTCCATTCCATCTCCAGTTTCTATGATCAGAGCTTCATGTCAGAGCTTTTAGCTAGGGATGTGCAGACTCCCTGCTTGAGAACTGAAATTGCACACAGGTTCGGCTCAGATCTTGAGACTCACTTAATCTTAGACAAACTGACAGAAGGAATGAAAGGGGTGTCAGGGCTGATACACAGCAGGCCCACTGGAGATGCTCACAGCGTGGTACAAAATGAAGAGCACCTCAACCTTATCAGATTTCTTTGGAAAAGGGTCTGCACATTCCTTTGGCGAGACTCATTAGCCGAAGGTTAATCTAAAGGTCTGGATGGGACATCAAACAGGCCTAAACGTCTCTCAGATCAATCAAAAAACAAAGGCCCCAGAAATACTTTCCATGAACAGGTGTTGCTGAGGGAAAAGACTGTCAGTTGAGAGCAAACACACAATTCCTATCCAATTGTGCCTTAAATGAAAGAGAAGAGTGCCACCTTAAAAACAATTTTTAAAAGCTTCCCTCTCTGGATTGCTAACAGCAAGGTGAAGTATTACTAAACAAACAGATTTTGAAAATGTGACATGCCTTTCTCTCACTGTTGCAAGTCTACATGTTTCTTGCATCAGGGTGGGCAGTGAAGTGTTTCATTGTTGGTGAGGGTCAGTATCACTGTCCTGTTC